CCYWMCCCSSCCCCMMAAGGCCCTAGTCACCCTGAACTTCTCATTCCCCATCCAGGAGGCCCCGGGCACCTGCCTGGGTGTCTGTAGAGCCTCTTCCCATCCCCCTGCTTCAGGCTGCTGCGTGGTCTGTCTCAGCGTGGGGACGTGTGTCTCTGCTGGAACGGGCACTTTAGGGATGTGACATACGTAACGCACCTCAGAAGATATTGGTTCCCAGGGAGGGTGTCATCCCTTGTGCACTCGGGCAGACCAGGGGAAAGACTGGGTCAAGGGAAGTCCTGGCTGCACCCCTTTACCTTTTCACCCCCCTTCCCAGTGCTGACGAGGGCCAGAGCTTTCACAGCAGAGGTTTCTTGCTGTGATGGATAAAGTTGCTTGATTTCCACTGGGTTCCTTATGGATGGCAAAAGAGCTTGACTTCCATGTAAGGAAGTGGTATCAAGTGTCCTTTTAAAACAAGGTTTCTAAATCACAAGAAGGCACCAACCTGATTAAAGATGTTGAGTAAGGAGTAGTTGGCACACAGAAATGGTAGAAAACACAAAGTCGGCCCATGTAGGACCATGGTGGGAAAGCTGTGGGACACGGTGGGAACCCCTGCTGTCCCCACCTAGGGCGGCCTGGGGCCAGGTGCTTCCCTTGCCTGGTGGGAGGAGGCTTGCACCACAGCTACTTCAGAGAGTCAAGTGAATGCCATGAGCGTAAAGGGCTGAGCCCAGGTTTGGCATGGGGAAGTCTCAACAGGTGACAGGGACCGTTCACCAGCCTAGTTCAAATAACACCTCCTCCCTGAAGCCTTCCYGAGCAACTCAGCCTAAGGTCTCTGTCCCTCTGTCTCAGGGTTCTGTCCTGTACAGCACTTTGGGTGTCAGACTTTGACCTGACCGCACTCCACAGTAGCTCGTACCTGTTAAAGATGAGTAAGTCTTCAGCTGTGAATGGACCCCCCACGCCCGGCCCTGCCTTTTTTATTTTTCATGAGTTTCATTGATAAAGACTTTTTTCTACTTTTCTGGGAAGATCTAAAAGGGCCTCTCAGATCTCAGTGTGTGGTTAGCGCACCCAGGACAACTTCAGATATCCCAGCGGGAATGCTTGTTCACATCACTGGAGTCACTACTCTGCTGAGGCCACAAACATGAGGTCCCATCCTGTCCTTATTTATTTATTTTTCCTGGATCAAGAAAGAAAACCCCAGAGATGAACGAGGCAGGGATTATAGTCAGGGCCAGAGGGACCAGAGGCCAGGAACAGAGCAGCAGCACGTGGTGGACTCTGAGGGACATGACCAGCAGGGGACGTGAGACCAGGGACACGGCATGTTGGACACGCTGAGTGGACCCTAATGTGAACGTGCTGYCCCCACTTGGTGCCTGGAGACCTGGTCACGGACTGTGAGTGGGAACAAGGCCACTTGCGATTCGCCTGGAGAGGTGTAGGGAGGACTCTTTTTGCTGATAGTTTATTTCCTCTACTTTCAGAAGCTGCGGCAGAGCCTCTTTGGAAACACCATCCACATCTTCAGCTATGACTGGAACAAGGCCTATTTCAAGTTCCACAGTCCTTTCTCTGACCTTGCGTTTGCTTTGGAAGTGGCAAAGGTAACAGCCAGATGGCGGTCTTGTTAGATCCCTAGTCTCTCTCCTTCCCTCTGTGTGCGCATGAACCATTACGACCGTAGTGGAGACGCRTGCACAATTTGAAACGTAACCTCAAATGGTAAAAGACTTCAACATCACCACACACTGCCTGGTTATGATRGACTCCTCACCTCCTTGTTCTCCTGTCTCTTCTTTCCAAGTTCTAAGCATCCCTGAAGATTCAAAAGCAGAGGGAAATCTAGAAACTTCCCTCTGGCTTGTTTGAAGTCTCAACAATTCCTGTGTGGTCACAGGCACACCCACGTTCCCAGGACAGCTAGTTGCTTGCCTGCTCCGAGACTGCAAGTCTGACTAGAAGCAGGGGCAGAGTGATGGGAGGATGGAGGGGAACAGGTTCCCAGGAACCCGTCTGAGGGCTCCACAAAGAAGCTAGTCATTGCAGATTCTAGCCGGCCACGGTACCCTGCTACAGCCAAGGGCAGGGGTGCCTAGGGACAGAGCAGCGTCCCTTCATGAAGCCCTGGGGTACCAGGAGGGGGTGGGATGCAGAGCAGGGTGGAGAACCAGGTCTACTCCCAGGGCTCTTTGTCACGTCCACTCCGTGGTTCTGCTTCGGTGGTAGAGCCCAGCACACAACTTCGCCCTCACTGCTCACCCTCCCCGTCCCAGGGAGGCCCCCGGAGCATTCAGATGGCTGTACAAGGGTCCATCATCAAACATCTCTTGTTTACCAGGAAGGACAGAGACTGCCACCTTCGCAGGTAAGAGCACTGTGAGCAGTGCGGAACAGTGACCAGCTTCATGGAGACCTTAATATGCTAAATAAGCATACTGGACAGGGCGGGTGGCCTCAGGAAGGACTTGTGCTCCTAAAGCAGAAGGCAGATGTGATCAGCTCCCCCAGAGGGGCTGGCCTGCAGCACTGGGGTGGGGGGGCCTCCTGCCGTCCCTTCAATGTCCAGCGGCAGGAATGAGGTTGACAGGTTTCATGCTCCACTGCGGACCACCCTGTCAGGCAAAATTATGCCCCAGGTCTCAGGTGAGCTCACCTGTCCATACTTGATGGGAAGCCGTAACCCAACAATTCTAGGGGGAACCACGGAGGTGGTTCAAACCTGTGAATGAAGGCTCCATCCTCCTACTTCACCAGTCTAACAAGGGACCGTGTTTGGTGGTTCCCTATTTGCTAAAATCAACTCAAAACTTGTTCAAACTGACTTTATTCTTAGAGGTTAACAACTGCCCCYCATCAAGTGCAGAGCCCTGTGCTGTGTATCAGAGGAAATGAAAATCAGTAAAAGGCAAATATCTGCCCTCGGGCTAGATAGGTCATCCCCACCAGGAATGAAATGTATAATGTATTCTAAGGTCATGGATTGCCAGGTCCTGCGGAAGCACGGTGCACAGTGGGGATTTTTATGCCAGTGATTTATTCCGGGTGTGCCCTCCAGAGAGCCCTGTGAGAGAGCAGGAGAAGCAGGCAAGAGAGGAGCAGCTGAGGAAGAGCGTGGCTCCCAGGGAGGCCAGCCGACGCTGGGGGAGCTTGGGCACAAACGCAGCCTGCCCCACCTTCAGATAAGGGAGGGGGCGCCTCCTGCCCAGCCAACCCTGGCTCCTGGCCAGCCACAGGAATGGGCACCCCTCCCAGTTGTCTGTGGACCAAGCGGCTCCAATCCTTGGAGGAGGGTGAAAAGTGGAAGTCACTAGAGTAGGACCCAAAGTGTCTGGGGAATGCACCCAGTGCCAAATGGGGGGACCCAGGGAGCCAAGATGGGGCATGTGGGCACATGAGCACACACATGAACACATGCACATATGCACACATGCAGACATGCACACAGCACACACATGTGCACATGTGTACACACACATGAACACAGGCACACATGCACACTGTACACATGTGCACACATGTGTACACATGCAAGAACACAGGCACACACATGCAGACATGCACACAGCACACACATGCACACTCATACAAACACACGCATCATGCACATGCACACAGGCACAYACACGTGCATGCATGCACACATATGCACGTGCACACATGAAGACACACATAGCATGCACACACATGCAATTACATGCATACATGCACACATATACACATGCATGTGCACACACATGCAGACATGTACACCCATGTGCACAGCACAGACGTGTGCAGACGAATGCATACACACACACATAAACATATGCACACATGCACATAGACATGCACACACACACAGCACCACACACGTGCACTCAGGCATGCACACATGCACACATACACACACAGTTGCTACATGATGTAAAGCACTTAGCACAGCACCGAGTCTGTGGCAAACTGAACAACTGTGAAGGAGCTGCTGYCCTCTGTGCAAGCCTCTCTCTGCCCTCCCCCTTACCTCATAGCACTTTGTCCTCTTCTCATTCCGCTCAGTGCTAGAGTTTTGGGCCCTCAGACTCCTTGTCACAAATCTGTGCCTTGCCACAGAGCTAGAAGGATTGTGTAAATYATCATCAAGCTCACTGTAGCCATGGCTGTGTGTCCCTCTATAGAGGCCACACTTGTCAATGTCACACATGTAGAAAGTAAGCAGAGTGACGTCACACAGAAGATTGGCTCCCATTTCCTGGAAGGTGTGTCCTCAAGGGCACTCAGCTCAGTGGAACAGTGAGAAGCAGGGATTCAGGACCCCAACAGCCTGAATTCAAGTCACTGCTCCCCCACTTTAAAAATGAGGGAACAGTGGCGAGTTACTTAACCTCTCTGTGCCTTTTTGTGGGAGCAGCAGTGGTATGTGCCCTAGAGGCTTAGGCAACCAGACAAGGTGACATWCGGGAAGTGCTTAGTGCAGGAATACAGCGAGTGCAGGACCATCTGGGGGAGACCTCCTGTGCCACTAGGATGGGACAGATGAAAGTGGAGAGCAGGTCCAGGCTGGCCAGTCCTGGAAGAGGCTTTGCAAAAGAGAGRTTATGGGGGTTGCACTTGAAAAAGGCCCATCAGTGGGCTGAAGTGTTCAGGCTGACCCCTGCTGTCGCTCAGGACAGAGGACARCAGCGGCCCTACTGGGTGAGACGCAGGAGGTGAACTGGCTAAGATCCCTAGAGAAACCAGACCCTGCTGTGAGGACTCCAGTTGCAGCCACAGCTCAGGAGCAGGCTGGTGAAGGAACCCAGGCGATGCCGCTGTGTTCAGAGGGGGTATGACCCTGGGGGCCCCACACACAGCAAGGCGCTGTTCCCTGTGCCTGTTCCCTTCCCCTCCTGCAGTTTACAGGACCTGAGCAGGCAGCAGCAGGAGCAAGCCCTGGCCACGGTGCTGACTGACATCCTGTGGGTCTCAGGAGCCACTCAGAARGCCGTTGTCTGCCTGGTTACCGAGGACACCTATGTTGACTGGACTCCTGACTACTCCAGGGACAACTTCACCGAGAGGGTAAGTGCAGTCCCACCACGCGCAGGGCTTCCATGGAGACCAAATGGAGCCCTTYGATGCCCCTGGACATGCCTGCTGTGGCAAGAGGCACCCCAAAGAGGAGAGTGCCCAGAGCTATAATGACCCAAGCGGCCAAAGTGGAAGGTCCCAAAGAGAATTTCCTTCCAGATAATTCAAAATCACCATCCCTGAATGTCCATATCCATCATCCTAAAGATAGCTGAATCCTTCCTAYGGGGGAAAATCTCTTTATTGTCCTACTGCTCGAAAATCACATGGGCTTAAAATGAGCACTCCGAGGGCCACCCATCCCCGCGTGTGTCTCGTGGCCTCGTGTAAGAACATGTCCGTGTGGCAATACCATCTCGCTACAAAACAAAGATCTGCCTCGAGGAAATGACAGAGAATTGGCGTCCCTTGGAGGCACCTTCCTCTTCCTCATTGTTATCTCCTGTTCCTGATTTGTAGCTCCAGCTGTTTGAATTTTCAGAGAAGGAAGCGGCTGAGAAATTCATCCGGGATCACTTGGAGAGTGTAAGTGTCGGAGGGCTGCGGTGGTGCCTTTGCCTTGGACCACCCTACAGAGATCCTCTTTCTCTTCTGAGGCGCGTTGCTAATGATGCTCGTTAAGAAAACCAGGTCATTCCGAGGGCTGGGAAAGGGCAGGATGAGTGGAAGAAGCCTGTTTCTCCCTCCTCACAACCTAGAAAGAGGCCAGATCAGACGGAGCCCCGCTCACTACAGCCTCTTTCCTTGGCTAATCAACCCAGAGCACAGTACTGTAGAGGGCACGGGCCAGGATGTCTTTTGTTCAGACAGTCTTTCCTTATCCGATGGGTAAAAACAGAAATGGTAGAAAACTAGGGAAGGCCCTTGTCTATGCTGCCTCCACAAGGACCTCGGATTTTGGGTAAATAACTGGCCTTAAGGTGGCCCCTCACCTCTTCCCACAGCCCCCACCCCGGGGAGGGCGGGAGCACAGACCAGGAGGCAGCAGGAGGAGAGGGAAGGGGCCTCTCAAAGACTCCGCAGAGAAAGAAACGAAAGCCGATTTCCTGAAGAATCAGAGACCTACCGTGTGCGGGAAGCAGGGAGTCAGCAGGACAGCAATGGAGCCCGAGGCCTKTCGGGTGAGCGGAGAGGGGACTGTGGTCTCCGTTCCCTGGAAGGCTGAGGAGGCCAACACTGGGAGCTATGGCCACGTGTGGCTCATAGCTCTATGGTCTGGATGACCAGCTGCCCAGGCCCACCTGCCCCCCTTCTCATGGGCCTGCTGTTGACTTGTGTGACTGGCAGGATGGTCCCAAGAAAGGTGTGTACTCCCTGCCCCCAGAGCCTGTGAATATGTACATTACATCACAGAGGAGAGTGACCACAGCTGGTCGGATGGCTTTAAGATAGAGGGGTCATTCTGGATGACCCAAGTGGGCCCAGGCAGCCACAGGGTCCTCACATGGGAGAGGAAGTCTGCAAGGTGCTGAGAAGAGCGTCGCCCACGCTGAATGTGCAATGACCTTGTACTCCAATGACCTTGATGTTTGTAGGATTTAAACTTTACAAGTGGGGCCCCAGCCAAGGCATGTGCACAGGTGTCCAGGAGGACAGGCCAGGGCCAGGACAGGACAACGGAGTCTCCAGAGGGAGGGCTCTCCTGAGGACACWGTGATTTCAGTGCACTAAGACCTGTTTCAGTGACCTCCACAGCTATGACACAATATGTGTTAAACATTTTTTTTGTTGTTGTTTAATTTCACATTTTGTTTTACTTGGTACGGGGCATTGAGCATGCACCCTATCACCAAACTCCGTCCCGAGCCCCGGTTTAAGCTGTTCCATTTATGGTAATTTGCTACAGCGGCAAAATGCAACAAGTAAAACCTTATGATGGACTTTGACTCCTTGACATGAAATGTTGAGCCAGGAGCCAGCTTAGGGACACTGGGTTGAGGACAGGAGACAGAGATAAAGTTATATAAACACAAAGGACCCACATAAGAAGGGAACTTTTCAGCAAAAATCAGTAAGGACATTCCTTTGTGTTGCTAGCCTCCTCCACTGACCCCTCGGAGACTCTCAGCAGGACCCACATCTGCCGGGAGTCCTAAGTGTGGCCTGGGTGGCATCCGAGGAGCACAGCTGGAGCTCTGTAGACTGGCCCAGGGCCCTTAGCAGAGGGGACTTTGCCCTGCAGGTGGGCATGGCAGGAGAGCCACTTGTGTGGAGCCCGCCTAGGCTACGGTCACCTCAGCCACCTGGGGAAGGGCTGGCAACATTTTCTGGGTGAGGGGAGCTTGGAGGCAGGCATATTGCCTTCTCATTGTTACCAGGACCACTCACCCAACCAAACCCATCACTACCAAAATGCATCCATCCTCTGTCCCAGTGCACCGGCCTGGATCTCCAGCTGGAGGCCTGTGGCCTACTGTCACCAGTTGGACTGTGTCCCCTCCAAAATACATTAAAGTTCCAACCTGCAGCATCTGGGAATGTGATCTTACTGGAAAATAGGGTCTTTGCAGATGTTAGTGGGTTCAGATGAGCTTGTTCTGGGTTAGGGTTAGGGTAGATAGTACTCCAATGACCTTGATGTTTGTAGGATTTAAACTTTGGATACAGATAGATACACAGAAGACACCACAAGGTAACCATGCGAGCGCTTCCTAGGAAATGATCACACTTATTCCACACACTTTGGGACGGCCCAGGGCTGTGCTGCTGACTTTTGAATCAGCAAGTGTCAAAAACAATCAGGAAATCCCACAGAAGAACTTGGGTTTTTGGCTTTTCCTGGAAAATCTGGCCACACTGATCCTATAGGGTTCAGTTGGTGGAGAGGCGGAGGCAGCCCGCCCTGATAGATGAACTGCGACAGGCGAGCACTGCTCACTTCCAGGCTCCAGAAACCTCCTGAATGTCCCCTAGATGGTAAAAGGAACTGTGCAGACGCGATTAGGGACCTTGAGATGGGGAGACTCTCTGGGTCCCAGATGGGCCTGACTCATCGTAGGCTTCCTCKCAAAGAAGGAGGGAGACAGCTTCAGAAGGCCAACGAGGCCAAGAACCCGCTCTCCCCTATAGCATCCCAGGGAACACAGGCTTGCTGTYACTACGACCGTAGCCACTGAGACCCATGCTGGACCCAGGGCATAATTCATGTGGCTTTAAGTCACCGTGGCAGAGGTGGCAGCAGAAAGCTAATACACAGGTCTTTCCAGCTTGCCTCAGGCCCCACCCTGCCCACTTCTCCCACACTCTCGTGGTAGGGTCATAGGAATTCCTGTCTGACTCTGGTAGCGCTGGAATTTGTTCTCCTGCCTGAGGGTCCTGGTCCCTGCCAGGTCACAGATAGCAAGGWGAGCAAATTAATCCACAGAGGGGAAGCACGTGTGTCTTATCAGGTCCCTTCTTGAGACAACAGCTTTACGGGGGGCCTGGACCCTGGGTACCTGGAAAGCCAGCCAACAAGCAGCCATGCTGCAGGCAGAAGATGGACACTGGCCAGCTCAGGAGAGGCCCTGGACRTTGAGTAGGCAGAGGGATGTGATCCCAGAGATTGCAAATGATCTTCAAGGAGTTCTGAGCTGAACTGCAGCCCAGAAAAGAGAGAAGTGCCTTAAAGAGGGGCAAATACTGACCTCTCTATGGAGCTGGAATAACCCAAGACGAAGAGAGGCACATGCACTCATTAGTTCACTTGATCTTTGCAACAGACCGAAGGAAAGGGTTTTGGCTTTTTTTTTTGTTTTTTCCTCTTATGATTGCAGACAAAACTAAAGAAGACTGGAGCTCAGAGAAGTCAATACTTAGGAGTAGGTAATAAGAGAGAGGCCTGTGTGACTCTGTTTCTGTAAAGAGGGACACGGCCAGAGAGGGCAGGGAGGCAGGCCAACCTGGACAGCACTCAGGGCCTGGGCAGGATTGGAAGAGCATCACCTTGGAAAGGTGGGAAAGAGCATTTGGGGCCGGGAGACTGGTGGTACCATGGTTGCTGCAGGAAGGAGGCTGAGGAGGGAGGCTGCCCCTGAGAGTGGAGTCCCAGAGCCGGAGGCCAAGGGTGCCCCTGTCTCAGCAACGGACGTCACGCCTACAGGGACACAAGGCTGCTGTGTTCCTGGACCAAAGTGCTTCTCTTTTGTTTCCCAAACAGTTCAAAGGGGAAGGGAGTCACGGCATTGTGCTGTTCCTTTATAGCCTGATCTTGTCCAGGACGTTCGAGAGGTAAATGCTGCCATGCCCTAGGTGTTGGGTGCAGAAGCGGGACCATGTCACTGTGCCCTTGGGGTGGAAAGCATTCCCACGAGCACCACTATTTCCTAAGGCTCACTCTTCTGTGGACACCTCGTTCCGGAGGCTGGCTCAGCCGTGTGGCGGGGCAAGCAGAGACCGTCAGTCGAGGACACTGGTTTTATTATTTAGATCCACAGTAAATATGCCCTCAGATATCCACTCCGTCTCGGTGGCATGCAAAGCCCTGCTCACGGCACTGTGGGCAGCACAGATAAGAAAAGACGCAGCCTGACTTCCTGCAGGCTCCCCAGGAAGGGCAAAGCTAGGCTTGGCGGGTAGCAAAGTGGGTCCTGACAGGAGGCGCGGTGTGAAGACAGTGTGGGTGTGGGTTCCAGAGGGGAGGCCCKCTGCCAGGGAGGCTTTCTGGGTCAGAGAGGAGAGGCCCAGGAGGGAGGCTGATAGCCCGGAAGTGGTGTTCTTGAAACTTATCTTTCACTTTCCACTATCACATTTTTGTGGTCTGTGCTATTATTTGCTTAACAGTTTTATTTAAATTAACACCCATTTAAATATTAACCTGGTCCTAAGCATTAATATTCTATCCACTAATATCTGCCTAGACTAATAAATAAAAGATAAAGCATTAAAATAAACACATCACTATTAAATGTCTTAAGTGCTCAGATCTGTACCATCTAAAAACACTGCCCAGAATTATATCTGGTGCCACAGAGACACTGGCCAGCCTTGACCTCAGGTCCATTCACAGCTGGACATGACCTCCAGTTCCACGAGTAGCTTCATCCAAGGACACATGCAGCTCCCATATCAGTACTCAGTGGCTCCTTGGGTGACAGCAGGAGCYGCATTGTACCTGGACCCCTCCCAGCCCAGATCCCTCCCAGCCCCGACCTCTGCCCTTCTACAGCCAGAAATGGGCTCCCCAGCCCCTCTGGTGCTTCCACTGGGGCGGCATGTTCAGCCCTGCCTTGGGCCAGCACTCTCTGGCRTGGTCATGTGTCACCACCTAGAGCCAGGAGTCCTTGTCACACAGTGCAGACAGCTTCCCTAGTGAGCCCAGCATCCACCCAGAGCCCGACACAGGGGTTCTACAGCKCGGGACATCTATGTCTGTTCCCTTCTCCCCTGCCACTGGCCACACGCCCCGTCTGCACCCACAGCTCCCCGACTTTGCAGTCCTGGCCTAGGATTTCCCTGGAGGACGTTGGAGTGTGCAAGGCACATGGGAGGGGAAGTGACCAGGGCCTCATCACTGCCGCTCTGCCCGGGGCCGCTGTCGACCTGCCATGTGCTGATGGCTTCTCCCCTCCTGCAGGCTTCAGGAGGACCTGGACTCAACCACCCCACACCTGTTACAGCCCAGCGCTGRAGGCTTCCTGTGCAGGCAGGTGCGTGGGTAGACTCTGCCCTTTTATTGCAGAATCTGATGAAGGCTTGTTCTCCAAGTGAGCTCGTTCGCTCCTTCAGCAAAGAGACATCACATCGTTATCTTCTGGAGCCCGAGAAGATGGTGCCCTGAGTCTGTGTCGGGAGCTGCCGTCCAGTTCCTGTTTCAATCCTCCCTAGTTACCTTGAAAGCTCCAGGACCCCGTGATTCTAGAAACATCAGAAAGGGTCTTAACAGGACTCACCAGGAATCCCTAACATCAGAAAGGAAAGTTTAAAATCAGTTTAAAAGAAATGTAAAGGGAGGAGGTTAGTAAGTTCAGAGGGGGCTCCAGGTAAGATGGGGCTGGGGGGTGAAGGCAATGGACTATGGCTTTAGCTCTACCAAATGATTAAGACATGTGTATCTAGAATTATGTATTGCGTGGCTTCATTTTTTCAGTAAAAAATGCTTATTTTTAATAATTTTTAAAACTAAAAAATTAAATCCTATTTCATTGCCACCTAAAATGTGTTTGTGAATCATGCCACCTCCCCAGGCCATTCTGAACATGATTCTCACTGGAAGAGCAAGTCCCAACGTGTTCAACGGTTGTGAGAAAGGGGAGGCTCAGGAACTGCTGCACGGAGTCCTGGCCCGCAGTGACGTTGGCTACCTGCAGTGGGGTCAGGACGCCTCCCAGGATGACAGACTCTCACAGGTGGGTGCCCCAGATTCTCAGCTTTGCAGCTAGCACGTCAATAGTGTGTCAATGTTTAAAGTCTCTCTATCAAGGCAGCTCTGAGCTTTTCCTTCCTATACTGTGTTTCTGTATACTTCTGACCCCCCCCCCCGCCACCACACACACACAAGGACACACACAGGACACATGGACATACACACACACAAACACACACGGAACCATGGACACATGAACACACACACAGAGACATCCAGGGTCGGCATGGAGATCTCCAGGTCTATACTGGACATAAAGACTGTAACCAGTCTACACAGTGGAAATGGAACTATAAAACCCTGTATTGGATACATAATCTTGTGTAAGATACTGTATGCATTTTAGTGTACACAGCGCACAGGTAACCTAAACAATACATGTAAACATTTTTTAAAACAATGTTTGAAGTGTACAGATAAGAGGACAGCCCCTCTTATCCCCAGGAGCCACAGATCCCTTCTCAGAGGTAAACACCTCAGCCATGGGTCCTCCCTACCCTTTACTTATGCAAATGGACGTTCTGTTCTACACATCAATGAGAGGCTTCCTGGAGACACTGGGAGAAAGGGACCCTAGTTAGGGAACCCTGTCCAGCCTATTTCTAGGGCTGGGGGGCTGAAAGGCGCAGCCCCTCAGGGGTTGAGTGGGACAGGATTCTGCAGCGCCAACAGGGAGGAGGCGAGCTGTCGCCCACCACCCATCGCTGCTGCTGTGGGACGCCTCCACTAATGTGTCCATCCTAAACCCAGCAGCCAGGCCAACTCCATGATGCGACCCTTCTCTGGGTGGTCCTGGGACAGCGGGGGAGCCTCAGTGCAATGCTGCCTGTCCTCCAGGCCACCCTCTCCCCTGCTCAGCATCTGCCTGCCCTTCAGCTCCCCTGGTTGCCCATGGCATCTTGACGTCCATTACTTCACCCTCTCTGCCCCCACTGAAGTGTCCAGTTACCTTGTCGTTCATAAAATAAGCATCTGGTCCTGCACCCAGTGACATCAAGAAAACAGTGTCCAACTCTGGTAGAATTGGCATGTTTTGGGTGCAAGTGTGCTGTGAAGGTTCCCTTATAGCTCCTGAGTTGGTCATCTAGGCCCACCATACCGAGGATGAGAAGTGACAGACGAACTAAGGACCTAGTCCAACCCCGCCCCAAGTCCCTTCAGACCCACTTCTTCCCCTCCTCTTCCCCACACGCCTCCGTCCACTTGGACCCTACTCTGCACACTAACAGGGACATCTCCGCTGGTCCACGAGCCTCTCCCTTCACTGCGTCCAACAGGCAGCACCCACGGCTCCTGGGACACTGCACTTCGAGTACGTCCCCGGCAGAGACTGGACTCATCATTGGGATGAAGTCCCAAGTCATTGTTTCCAGACAACTTTGGAACTCACCTTAAAATCTCACAAATACAATGAGAGGAAAGCTAAGCCAGAAATAGGGGATATGTAGATCCCATTCCACACATTTTTCTTCTCTTTCAACCCTCCATGGCCTCCTGGCGTCTGGTACCTACCAGAGCCCAACAATACGCCAAGATTTGGTTGGAGAGAAATAGAGGCTACATGGGGCTGAGTTTCAAGGAAGGGGAACCCAAAAATGACAGCAATGATTTAGCATTTTGTTCGATATCACAAAGCTTTCAAAACACTCTTAGATAATCCTCGAGTTCTGTCATGTCTTTCCAAACCCTCTGCTGTTATTTGCTTGATGTTTTTTCTTTAAATCAACTCACTTTTAGAATTTGGGTCTAACCTTTTCTGCAGCTGTATTATAAACCCTGTGCTTGGTGCACTCTCCCCCCAATATGTATTTAAATAAGTAAACAAATATTTTAGGCAGGAGGATCACAAGATTGAGACTAGTCTGGGCAAATTAGTGAGACCCAGACCCTGTCTCAAAATTTAAAATGAAAAGGGATGGGGATGTGGCTTAGTGGTAGAGCACCCCTGGGTTCAGTCCCCAGTACCGTAAATAAATAAGCACATACATAAATAAATAAATTCATTCCTGGTGCCACCAGTCATGCCACATGCCACCAACGACACATACACCACATTTGGATCCTGGTGTAAAGGTGACAAAGCTCCCACAGTGTGTGGGAAATCATCCTGGCTTGGTCATCAGCAGACTTGACCGCAGGCCTTGCCCTGCCACTTGCAGGGATGTGCCATGGACCAGCGCTGACCCTCTTTGAACTGGTTTCGGGTTCTGCACATACCTGTCTTGCAACCAGAGAACTGAGTGAAGAGCAAGTGCTGTCATGAACTCAGAAGCCACTGGAAAGCTTCATGTGCTCATGCAGGACTTCCTGATAGATGACATAAGGTGTAACGTGGAAGCCGGGATCCTTAGCCTCTCCCAACTGGGAGCTCTGTCCAGAAACAGAGGGGCCATCCTGGGCCATACGTGGACGCACACCGGCCACTGTAGAGGGATACAGGTGACAAGTGCCGCAGGACACAGATGTGGACCTGGCTGCACACTGGACTCTCCAGAAGAGCTTTGGAAACTGCCAACACCTGGGGCATCCCCAAAACTGTCCACTTCAAGAGTGCGAGACTCGTGCAGCCCCCCAGGGCCCTGCGTTACCAATAACTGCTAGACAAGGACCCTTGCATTTTTATTTTGCACTGGGACCCATGAAATTTGTAGTCAYTTCTGCCCAAAGACAGTTTCTTTTGGTCTGGAGGACACTGGACACAGGAGATACTGATATGTGCCAGGGTCAGACGTCTGTTTCTAAGCTGGACCTCGCGATCTCAGCCCTGGAACACCTGATCACCAGGCTTCTCTGCTGGGGGGGCATCCTGGGCTATCAGCAGTGTCCTCACCTCTAGCACCACGCCCAGGTCACCACCAGAAATGTCTCCAACATTTTCAAAAGTCCCCTGGGGATCAAAGTTGCCCTGGTTGAGAATCACTGTTCTGAGAAGGGCAGGGCAGAGGGTTCAAATCCATTTGGGCTGGGCAAGCCTGACCCACGGGGCCTGACCCATGGGGCAAACCCAACCCATGATGCAAAGACCTGGGAAGCCAGCGTCTTACCTGAGCTTGCTGTAAGCTTCAGAAGGCTGCCAGGTTTTTGCTCCTTTTAACATTTACCAAGCCTCGGGAACAGCCTCAGACCTTATCCTAACTGAAAATTGAACAGGTGTTTGCAAAATGAGTTGCTCTGAGAAGAGGGAGAGAGGACTCAGCCAGAGAGTCAGCAGCTCCCAGGGACCAGCCCTGGGTTTTTCTGGAACATATTTCTTTCTACACAAGTCAGCTCAGACCCATGGAGCTGCTGAATCTTGCTCTAAAGAAAATCACCTGCAGTCTAAAATACCCTCTAATAATAAAGAATAAGCTTGCCAGGACCTTAAAGTCATAGCACAAGATCAAAAAAGGAGCTTTCCTGCTGGCACAAGGGCAGGATGTGCCAGACCATGGGTTCCCCGGAGGTTTATCCAGTCGTGTCTGTGTGCACTTGGGGTTTGGTTCCAAAAATACGGTATTGAAGAGCAACCATAGGCTGATGGTTTGCTATCTTACAAACATGTTAAGCACATGCATGTAAAGTTGGTTTCACCTGCAGACAACTTTTTTTTTTTATTCCTTACATATCAGTTCATTATTTGGGAAAAAACTGATCCCTAACTCATATGTAGTATTGAAGTAGCTCCCTACACATACGCATGTGTGTGTGTTCTCTGCCTCACTGACACGTGGCAGTTAAGGGAAGTCTATACGACGGCATTTTATTCATCCTGGGGACAGCCACATGCATWGAGACCTACTGTGTTCCGGCTTCCTGGGGGCCATCTGCAATGATCTCCGATTTCATTTAATCCTCACTTCCACTCAAAACTATAATCATTGTTACTTCAAGTCCCAGCTTGGTCATTCGCCTTAGAGATAAAGAAGACCAAACCGTAGGACGTGCAGGAAGTTGCCCAAACTCACTAGCCAGGCACGGGGCAGAGTTAAAACCCTGTTAGTTCTATCTTCATTCAAAGCCCCAATTCTGTCCCCTCTTTCGCGGGCTGTTTTCTGGTCAACGATAAGCATATGCCTGCCAGTCCCTAGAATTCCACTTCACCATCAGCCCTTTCACAGTCCCTTCTAAACACAGCTCTGTATTCTACAGTCTGTAACACGTCATGGGCACATGGACTGGTGTGGGCCCAACATTGGGACAGTGGCCAATCACGGCTAGGTTTCAGAGGGCATGACCGTCGTGCTCAACCAGCAGGGACTTCATCACTGGCTTCAAGGCTAATGCAGTTGTGAGTTCACCATGATCGTGAACTTCAGGGGCCTGTGTACAGGCTCTGCCTCCGTCAACTCCGGTTTGGTGGGTCACACCTGTCAGGAATGTGGAACTTCTAACCACCGGACAAGCTTGGTGGTACTCAGAGATGTGTTAACCAGAGACCCCAGTGGACCAGACGACTAACACTGCACAGTATCCCAGCGTTGGCCTGAGACACATTGCCCAGCCAAAGTCTACCCAGGGAAGACCGCAGCTCCACGGGGGCTGCAAAACAGTCTCCCTCACATGGCAGGATTGAAGACCCTCCATTGCAACTGCCCTTCCTTTCCCCTGAGGCACGGTGACTGCACCCAGCACCCATGATGTGCAACTGGGCAGGTAGGCGCTTTATGGGTATGTAGTGGCCTGTCGAGGGGAGGTGTGACAAACCTGAGTGTGATATTTATGTACTGTACTGATAACAAAAACCTAACCTAAGAAAGGTCTCTGAGTTTGAAAGGACAGCTCGTGCTCTCTGTCATCGGGGCTGTGTTGCCCGGTGGCCTGTCCTCTCCCGCCTCTGTCTTTCCCAACTCCATCTCTTCTGATTCTGCAATCCAACTGCAGAGACTACAAAAACACTTGTCTTTCAACCCAATGTCACAGCCCAGTGGGTGACATTTAAAAAAAAGAAAGAGAGAAGATGGAGCTGTCATTTGTTGACATGGCAAGCCCCCCAGAGCCCACCAGACTGACAGTTCCTGCAGGACGGGGCCAGCTCCCTGCAAGATGAGGCTCTATTTTGAAGCTTCCCTGTTACTTTCCTATTGGAGGRTTCAGGTTTGTTTGTGAGGTTCCAGTACCTAAGCAAGAACATAAAGCAGTTTGAGTCTAACACCATCTGGAAAGCCTTGGGAGGTTCACATTATCCTCACACCTGCCGCTGAGAAGAGAAATCAACTCTCATTTTTGGAAGGGACTGAAGCCATTTAGGTCTGGCCCGAGTTAGTCCCCAGCACCCTGGCAGCACTTGCCACGGTCCCAGCGGTGCCCTTTCCCTCTTTACATTTCCCTTTAGAGAGTTGGTAGGGGAAATCCAACCCTGAAAACCAGTTGGAGCTGTGCTTGCTGCACTCTGCTCTGGGCCTCTGAGACCGCACCCTGCAACCACTGTCCAGTTTGTCTTCACAACATACCTGCAAGCTCGGTGAGGGACGAGACACGGACTCCGTGTTCCAGGTGGCAGAGATGAGAGCAGGGCCGTTAACTGTTATGCTCAGGAATCGTCACCGGGACCCAGAGCAGAAAGTGCAATGTAGCCAACACCTTTCTCCCGTTCAGATTGCCAGCCCGGGGCCTCGGGGACTTGGTCCCAGCAACACGCTCTGAGCACCATCGCTCTAGGCCATGTAATAAAGAATTACATGGACTCAGTTGCGGCCTTCTCTGTGTGGAATCTGTCCATCCTTCTTCCTGTCCTTCCAATGCTACCTTCGTCTGAAGGATGTGTGGTATGTGAAGCTTGGTGGCTGTGTGCACGGCAGCTACGGGCTTATTGCACCAAGAGTGAACCTAAGGAGAAAGGTGTCTTATTTATAGCACCTCTGTATCCCAATTTAATTTCCTGCTCACCATGGCAACATGCACAAATTCAGACTTGGTGGAATCTCACCAATAAAACATACTTGGATCCTGCTTTGGGAGTAGCTGGTAAACGGTGTCTATCCAGCAATACAAATGCTTCAAGTGGAAAATTTCAGTCCAACTGCTCATGTAGGGGGCCATGTCTGACTGGCTTGGGGCAAGAGGTGTTTTGTTGGTTTCTGCAGGACTGGCGTAAGTTGGGTGTATTCTCATGGTCATCTTTAGGCCCCCTCAGGGAGTTAGCTCCCCACACACCATGATGGTCCCAGATGACAGTCCCCTCTCCACCACATCTCCCCAGGTAGCCTTGGAGTCTGCCTGCCCAGGGGACAGCTGATCACCATGGGGGGCCGGAGGTGGCTGTACTTGGACTACATCATTTTCCTCCTCCTTGAACAATATCTGGGGTAACTTTGAGTTCAGGAAAGAAGCTGTGGCCTGAGGTGGCAATGCGTGGATGTGGGCCTGGAGAGGTGCCGTTGAAGTTTGCCTCCTTATGATGATTCTATGAAATGATGTTCCGTAAGTGCATGTTTTGTTTCATCCATCCAGGCATAATGTACAGGGACTTCCATTGACTTGAAGCCAGCCAGAATGTCCACCTGAAATTCCAGTGGAATGACAGTTGGTGACAAACAGCCCTCCCTCCATCTCCCAGTTTATCCACGTTTTCCAACCTTAGCAATTCCATGTCCTTCGTATTGTGTTTTGATTATACATGATCGTAATGCAGGGAGAGCAGCAAGAAACCTAAGAAAGGTGGCTTATTGTGTTCCTGACGACAAGTTTCAAGTGAGCTGCAACTTGGGCTGGACGCGTGATCCCAGTCACCAGGGGCAGCTTCAGCAGCACATGCTGCTGCATTCTGACCAGCCCCAGGCCCACACCCACGCCCATGCCCACTGAATATTCGGGTATGTGAGACACTCAGTGGGCCTCAGCCAGGAGGAGGAGGAGAGGAGCACCCACCAGGAGCACGTTCTGACTGAGGTGCTGGTTCTAAGACCACCAACTAAAGCTAAGATCATTTCCTTAAAGCACGGTAATAGAATCTTTCTCCAGTAGCTAAAAGCAAAATGCTTAAAGACGAAAGCCTCTCTGATTCATCCACTCACCCACAACTGAAGAGCGTGAACAGAAGAAAATGAAGGAATTTGAACAGAACTATTGAGAAATCAAAATGTCAAGTTATTAGCCTTTAATACTTGGGTTTACAGAGCATGTAATAATTTTCCAAAGCTGGATATTCTATAAAATAGAATTTGTTCCTGAACAAAGAGTAAACTCTGAGGACTGAGAAGAAAAAAAACCAAAATGGCAATGTTGGTCCTCCCATTGTAGGATAGAGCCAAGCTAGAGGGGGCGGGGAAGGAGGTCTCGAAACTTCTGGGCACTGTGTGGAAATCATTGTTTATCTCTTTAAGTAGAAGCTAAATTGTCCTTAATATTTTAAAAAATTGTCTTTATGAATTCTGAAGGAAGTCTTTTTCAAAATAGGTGTTTCCCCAAGTCTTTAATCAAAATGTAACTATTTTTTTATAGAAATACACTACCATATCCTGGTACCTCCAGGGCCATTGAAATACTCGGGCCACTGCTCCTGCCCCTTGGCCCCGCCGTGTGCTGGGTGTGAGGCTAGTCACCAGCCGTGGGAATTCAGGCACTGACAGTTGCCTGGAGGAAACAGAAAACAAGCTGGTTAAACCAGTGAACATGGTGTCACGTGGGGTATGACCAGACGCCGCCCTCGAGGACACCTTCCCAGCTAGAATAGCCGGGAGCCTGCTGCGTGTGCCGTGGTCTGCGGCCCACTGCCGTAGCTTTCCCCTGCCTGCTAAGCATCTCTCTTGTGCAGCTGAAGTGGTGAGCAGACATCCGGYCACCTGCTGAATGAAATGCTGTCCTGTCTTGGGAACAGAGCAGAGGCCCTCCTCAGTGACAGAGTCAGGGTTCTCTGACCCCACCCTGCACTCCCATCCTGGGCTGTTCTTTACCTCGCCTTAAATCCAAATGAAGACTCCTCCACCCCTCCACGAGGCCACCAAAAGCAGTTTGAGAATATAATCCATTAGAGAGAAACTGCAGCGTCCCCCTTGCCCCACAGAAATGCAGAATCCTGCCTGAGGACACGAGCTGGTCCCTGAGGAGGACTCAGGCTGGGCCTCACAACACAGCACACACCACCCCGCACAGGTGCACACACACACACACACACACACAGAGAGAGAGAGAAAGAGAGCGCCTCCAAGTGATGGTGCCCTGCCTCTGTGGGGTGGTGAGGCCCACATTTCCTCTCCTGCCCCTCTCCCCTGCAGGTGGGCAGCATGCTGAAGACCCCCAGATTCCCCATCTGGCTGTGTAACATCAATGGAAACTGCAGCGTCCTTTTTTGCACAAACAGGCAGCTCTTATCAGACTGGAAAATGGAGCGTGTCTTTGATCTGTACCTCTACAGTGGTCAGCGCTCGCAGAGGAGGCCCTCGCATCTTACCGTAGGTGAGCACTTCAGACCTGGGCYTGCGGGCTCTGCTGGGCCCACAGAGACGCAGCGGCCATTGGTTAACACCTGTGTGGTAGTCACGCTGGCTCTGCAGGAAAGTGCTCGGGCTCAGTCCTGAAAGGAAGCCCGGCACAATCCCACGGGTCTAAACCCAGCCTTCAATGTGGGCATTCTACACCCTGGAAAAGGAAAGGGGCGCGGTAGGAAAACACARAGAAACAAACAACTTAGGTACTAGAAAACACAAAGGGCAAAGAGGCAACTTTCCAAACAGCCTTGTCCAGGACTTTTTATTTTTGCAGTATGTAATGCCTGAAGAGAGACATTTAAAAAAGAAGAGAAGGGGAAAGTGGGGAGAGGGAGTTCCAACTGGCCGATTCTGTGTCACAACCAGACATCAGGTGATCATCCAGCGACAAGATCAGACAAACTAGGGGTGCATTTCTGTTCAGACTAGCTCAGAAGGCACCTTGGAGGGCTTGCCCTGGGCCAGAGTCTGGCTGGCCACAGGAAAGCCCTTGGGGGATGAGGCACAGTCCCCACCATCCTCATGAGGTCCTCCTCACCACTCTGTCGTGCACTGGCCCTCGGACWCGGTCCTGAAGCAGGCAGGCTGGAGTCTGTATCGGGCAGCCCTGGCTCTCTCTCTGGAGCCTGGCCATATCCCAGTCAGCACTGGGCACCATATCCTGGCATTACATCATCCTCCATTACTGTCACTGACTTGGAAAAGTAACCGAGTGACCATCTTATCTGTGCAGCTTCTAATTCTTTTTCTTTAATTGTGAAAAACACATATTAGCCCATTTAATTTAGGGTGAYATTGACAAGATGTTCCTTAAAATATATTGCCATTTCTAATTTAACTTTCCTCTTTGAGGAAGCCACGGTGTTTTTATTAGCTCGCAGGCAGCCCACACATTCTGTTCTGGGCCCTGTGTTGAAAGCTCCCCTCACATTAACCCATGCGACTCCCCAGAGTCCCCCGGGGTGGGTGCGGGCCTCCCTCCACTTCCCCAGCTCTAAAGCCTAGGCCCACCTCCTGCCCAGCCTCCCTCTTCTCCGTCTGTCCTGGCCTCCTCGGGAAGGGTGTACATGGGTCGGGGTAGACGCTGGTGTTCCTTCCCCCAGATACACACTCCCATCACTGGGAGAGGGGCGGACGTGAAGACGGACACAGACCCGGAAGACGGTTCTCTCCCCTGGAGATGGCAATCAGAACCAAGTGGAGAGAGGCCACCATCACCTGGAATGGGACTGGTCCCTTTTTCTAAAGAGAAAACCAGGTTGTGCGATAAAGTCTAAGTCTCTGAACTGTTGGGGTGCAAAAGCTAGGGTGGGTGTGGGTGATTTCTACATTCCCGACATGAGCGCCATTGAAATTACCACGAGTAGCCTTTGGTTTTCTCCCTGCTAAGTCCCCCCCTCCATCCCGGCAGTGCCATCGGCATTGGCATCATAGAGAAACAGCGCTCGCACCAGGGTCTTCCCAGCAGGCCCTCAGCTCCTTAACCTCACGYCTTCCTTTCACCCAAAGGACGATAGGAAGCCTCTCCTGCGCCTGCTCTTTCCAAGTTCCTCTTCTGCTCTGGTTCTTCATGGGGACTACGGGAGCAGGCAGCCAGYTTCCATTTGGGGGTGATGTCATCGGCAGTACGTCATCCCCTCTCAGTCATGGCAAGAACACAAGCCTTCTCGGAGACTCCTGGCAGGGGGACCGTTCCCCTCCAAGGACACACTCGCCTGCCCACGTGGGCRAGTTCTTGTCCTCAAATGGTAAACGGGCTCCTTGGGCTGGAAGGGAGCTCCTCCTGGTGGGCAGGCTGCTCTGGCCAGGTGCAGGGGCACCAAGTGGTCAAGGGGAGCCTGCCAGGAGACACCCTCTTTCCATTGCGGTATTGCTGCATTCTTTCCAGTGTTAAATTTGTTTCTTTTTCATAAGATAAATATTAATGATATCAATAAACAAAAACTGAGGCATGTCTTATTCTCTGTAAAATAAGATCCTGGATAAAAATAAAACCTCTCATGTCAGTGTTTACAGAGGAAACCAGTTCTTTTAAGCATGGGGTCCCTCTGTTCTGTTAAGTGCCTTCCTATGTTTTGAAGAGATGGAGTCACACATATTCTTTCTAGAAGATGTCCCTGGGAACCACCTAGACCTTGCTGGTCTGCCAACTCACAGACTCAGGGCTTGGAATTTGGAAACCAAGGGTCAGTTTCCAAAGCACGACTTTTCTGCACTCGTTGTCCACATTAATTATTAAGTGCATTTTCATTTGGCTCCAGAACAATGTTTAACTTAAGGAACATGCAGAAAATGAAACTTCAAGGTGAGTAATAAATTATGTCAAAAGAGGAAGCCAATTTGGCTTGGATTGCTGATTACACTGTCTTTATCATCAGTGTTTTCATTTGGGATTTTTAACACATCGGATAAATGAGTGAGTCCCTACAGACCCCGGTCTTATTTGGTCTTAGACGTAGCCATGTTGCTTTTGCTGAGCTGCTGGCCTGTGAGGGTTTAATGAACACTGGGTTGTTACTTACTCAATGTCCCTCTTGGTGTTGACAGCTGGAAAGCTYGGAGCAGAATTAGGAATCACATTAAGTGCCCTGGTGAGAAGCACTTAACTCTAAGAGATCTCACAGGAGCCTCGGACAATGAGGACATTCCTTTCTACAAGAATGGCCTAGCTAGGAGGCCCACAGCCCTTAGCTCAATCCTGCTCATCCTCTGGGACTGAGCACCAGACACTGGGCAAAGAACAAAGTCAGGGTCTGCAGAGGACAGCAGAATGGCTGTTGGTAGGTGACCAGCAGGTCCCTGGCAGCAGCATAGACCCCACAAAAGGCATTTGTAAAGCAGCCTCACCCCTGTTACCATATTCTGTTTCTGCCCTTATTTCCCTTTGAATTTTTAATCTGTTCATAATTTATGTTAGTTTGCCATATTTTTTATGTTGTTGTAATCTCTGTTAAATTATTCCCAGAACAAGTCTATAAATAAGTAAAATAGTGCAGGAAAGATTAAGTACCTATGTTTTATATGTAAAGATATAATAATTATGATATGTAAGGGTATTCATCACTTTGWATGTCAATGTGGGTGAAGATGAGTTTTCCTCTTAGAAGCAGGGCACCCAGCAATACTCGAATTTTTTTGAGATGAAGCTGTATTATTTAGAAGAAGCTAGAAATTTCCTCAGGCTCTGAGTTCACCTTTGAACTTCTGAGTTTTGAGAAAAATGACTCAAATTGTCCTTTTACCTTCTCAGGCTTAAAGCAGGAGAAAATTATTTGCTTGAARATGGAGATATTAATTTTTCTGAATAGTGACCTAAACCAACTGTGTCTTTAATGGAGCTTGGAGGAGATGGCAAATATTTTTCTTCTGTAAATATTAACATTAGACTATTATGTCCCCCTGCCCCCAAATCATTACTTGTTCTTCAAGGAACAGCATGGATCATGTTTCCAGTATATGCTCACCTGTGTCACAGGCCAGGTAGGACCAGGGCAGGGACAACAGACCTGAGGTTCCCTGTACCTCACCCTGCAGAAATAACAGAGAAGCTGGTGTCACACTGTCCAGATCTGTGCAACCTTTGGCCACACTGTGACCTTGATTCAGGTAGCACACYATGGACACATACGTCAAATGTCGCAATAGCTTTCAGGCCTTGGAGACTAGACCAGCTGTTGGCTCATTCCACCAGGTGGCTTAGCACTCCCCTGTGCCAGGCACTGTGGGGTTCTGGGAAATGCGGGGAGTGAGTCACACACCCCTTCTTCTCCTCCTCGAGCTCCTGTGCTCTTCTTTGATGGCACTAACCTACTTTAGTGGGCACACACTTGGAAACCCSGTGAGCATTCCAAGGGAAGGGACTCTGGACGTGTCCTCTCAGAGTTCAGGACTGGTGGCCAAGAAAGGTGTCTCCCAGGAGGATCTGGAGGCCTGGAGAGGCACCTAGGAGAGCAGACGGGGTGAAGGAACTGGAGCAGCTGCTGAGCTGGGCTGTAGAGCAGGAGGAGGCTGTAGAGCAGGAGGAGGAGGCTGGAGAGAAGGAGGAGGAGGCTGGAGAGAAGGAGGAGGAGGCTGGAGAGAAGGAGGAGGCAGCTCTGGAGAGCAGCAGGAGGCCTCAGACCATGGCGCTGAGGTGCCTGGGAAGACTCTAAGAGGCCTTTGAAGATCTGCATTTTGAAAGGTGCCTCAGTGTGGAAAACAGAATAGCAAGAGCCCAGACGCATGCAGAGACCAGCTGGGCAGCCATCCCAGCGATGGAGCCAGTGATGGCCAGAGCAGAGGGCTGGTAATTCACACAGACGGAACACCTGTTGGTGACAGCAGAGAAGGCAGGACAGGCCACAGGTGCCAGAGAGAGGGAAGCAGGGGTCTGGAAGGACGTCCAGGCTCCAGTGGGAGCCATGGCAGGTCACACCTTCGCTGTGTTTGGGTGCAGGAAGGGAACAGCAGGCTCAGAGGGGAGGAAATGCCAAGTTCATGTCTTTCACTAACAGGGAGCTGAGAGGAGGGATCAGGAGCATCTRGAGCAGATAAACACACCTGGGAGTCACAGAGAGTGGGTCACAGGATGGCCTGGGGTGGGGTCACATACAGAGAAGACCAGGCAGGCAGAGAGCCAACCCGACGCTGACCCGAGGATCCCAGTGTCCCTCAAGTTCACGAGCCCTGCGGGGAGGCCGGAGAGATAGCCAGGAGGCAGGAGGAAGCCCAAGGTGAACTCGACTGAACCATGGCAGGCATTCCCCTGCCCATGCTGGGAGAGGAAGCAGGCCCGGGAGAGAAGAGGAAAGCTCTTCCCAATCCAAGCCCCCRGCCAGAGCTGGGGGCCAGGCACAAGGCCTGGACCAACACTGGGGAACCCAGCCAGGTGACAGAGAGCTTCGAGGAGCCCAGATACCACGAGGAGAAGGTAAGGCTGGGTTTCCCTGGTTATGACAGCATCGTGCTGGACTAAGGTGATAACCCCAGCCTGCCTTTCTCTGGGCGAGAGAGGGATCTGCCTCACCCCAGGGGACTTCCCAACACCTGGAGAAGCCAGTCCTACAGTGGGAGGGCCTCCSGAGGAGCCCAGAGCGACAGACCAGCAAGGAGTAGCCAGGGCCCAGCTGAGGGCACAGCTGACACAACAGGAAACGCAGCAGAAAAGCCTGGTCTCAGGGGAGGCCACCTAGTGGACAAAGGCAGGTAACACCACTGCCCGCAGGCTGACGCCAGAGCAAAAGGCCACCCCACCTCAGGAGAAAATGGCAGTGACARTGGAGCACATTTTGGCATAAAAACAAAAGGTATTGGTGGCCATCAGGAGCTATCTAAATAAAAGGTGACTTTGGGAAATAACTGTTAAAAAGCCATCAGAGAGGATCACATTTGAATGAATTCAAACAGTTATTTTCAGAGAACGTGTTTAAACTTAACCGTGTTGAATGTGTTCATATCACATCTCTGTCCGAGAAGGGCCTGGGGTGGCTGATAGCTGTGAACCTCGTGGAGAAATTGGTATCTTAAGTAGCTATTGCTCTTTCTCCAGTGGTTAAACCAACAACACCCCAAACCAACCAACAAAAAACCTTTCCACCACTGTCCACAAGGTGGAGCTCTGAGAGAGGCTTCATCAATCTCTCCCCAGCCAAACCGTCCAAGGCAGGATGGCAATTCAGTAACACGCACGCACACAAATACTCACAGACCCAGGGTGTCTATAACATTGGTGTGGTGGATGCTTAGTCTTCGAGACACCTAGGATTGGGATCCCTGACCACAGGGGCAGGACAGCTCTGAGGGAGGCACCCTCCCCTGCTCCATTCTACCCAGGTGGCTCCATGTCCACAGCCGCCTCCCTCCTAGACACCGTAGCCTGTCTCACCTGGCTTCTTGTCCCCTTCCAATCCTTGCTCCACAGGATAATCAGTGATCCTTTACAGAGTCAAGTCTGATTATGTGATAGCAACTCCCATCATGGTCACTAGTATGCACTTAGGACAAAATACCCAAAACTTCSCAATTTCTGCAACAGCCTGCAGGATTTGGCCCCTGCCCCATCTCATGCCAGACTCACCCGGGGCACTCCCTCAGATCTCAGCTTAAGCCACCTCTGCCTCCACCTCCATTCCCATTAGGCCCCAGTGCCTGTCTCGGCACCTGGCCCTTTGCCTGCCACTCTCTGTGATTGGCAGTTGCGTTCTCATTTGTGTGCTTATGAGCTAAACACCCAGCTGCCCACTGACCAGCCAGGCTCAAACAAGGCCG